TTTGGGAACGGCTGAGGTGAACTAGGTAAGTCCACACACAGCTGAGGTACAGGTGGGAATATGAATAGGAGCATGGGCATCATTGGTGGAGGATTTAGAAACATCATGTCTTCTCCTGGTTATAGGACTGGCCTGCGTGTTACCTGTTTGGACTACCGTTTCCTCATCTCTGACCTGCGGCTTACAGCAACCTTTTCATTTTGAGATGCGTTGATGAAAGTAACTCTTAAGTATTACTGTCAGATACATTTAACATTGGCTTTTAAAACCAAAGAGCATTTTAATTCACCAAAAGCTGGTAAACCTAGAAGAAATGCATATAGTTAAGTCAGCGGGTGCAGAAAGCTTCCCTAATAAATATTTGCTCTTCAGTAAAGCCTCATCAGTGAGTATGTTTTGATGTGATACAAGTAAATCTCTTTTCTGAAAAAACTCTGGTATTTGGATGTGAAAAATATGGGTGGAGGGAGAGGAGGGAGACAAAGTTATTGTTACGTTAAAGTTATTCTTTGCTCGTTAATAAGTTCAGCACTTTAATAATTTGGATTGATGCTTTTGTATTTGTCTAAAGCTGGCTCTTTCTTGTGCTGTCCTTCTCTCAGAATAGGTGGAAAAACTGATTGGACCGTTAGAGGTCAGCATTTGTACTCGGGAAATGTTGTGTGGTGACCAGTAAAAGCATTTAGCTTCCTGTGGTGTCAGAAGGGCGTTAAGATTGAAAATAGCTTCAAAAGTTTCCTAAGTCTTGTATTGCAGAACTAAGCTCTGGGTGTTCTGTGATGGAAGAATTACTGGGTAATTTTCCTTTCTCTCTATTGCTTAATACGTGTAATCCAGTAGTTCAATTTCTGCTTCTGTGATTTACTTAGGAGTGATAGGGGGACAGTATTCTGTCACCACTGGTGGTGTTTTGTGTTCTCTGTTTTGTCTATCACATCCTTTGCAGTGACCTAGAACTTGACTGGTTTTTTGTGATAATGAGCATGGTTTCAATACAAGGTATGTAAGTAATAGCAATAGATGGGAGTGAAGGAATATGAAATTATGGAAACAAAACTATTTCTGAAGTTTGTACAAGTCCCACATTTCCTTCAGCCATTCTGTACTGATGCATTAGGCTTCCAATAGCATGTGTGGAGTATTTGAGAGGAGGGGCTTGGGGTTTTGGTGGTAGTGGAGCTTAGCAGACCCACTACTAATGCACAGTGTTTGACTCCTCAGAAGCTTATTAAAGGTACCAGGGGAAAAGAGGTATCTTTGTGGATCTTACTCGTGCAAGTTGAACTTCCTTTATAATCAGCTCAGATTAGTTGGTAACAATTGAAAATTCAATGGACCAAATTAGCCAGCCCTTAGGCTAAGTGAAGTAAAACTCAAATACCCGAGTGATTCATTTGTTCTGTAGATAAACTGTGATTCTTTGTTAATCAGATTACATAATAAATGGGTGGAAAACCGAACTTGGCAAGACTTGACAGGCAAAGGTTTCTTGTTTTGTATGAAAAATACGATACTATTACCAAGTTCGAAAACTAAAAACTATTTGAAGATTCAGAAAATGGTTTTGGCCATTCCTCAAGGGAACTTCTACTGGTTCACCTTTTTCAATTTGTTTTCAGTCCATTGCTTTTCAAAGTACTTGCAGAACGCATCAAAAATTACTGTTCATTGATGTTGCTGTTATATCAAAATGATGCTTAGCAAAAATATGGTGGTGTTCAAGGCCAGGTTGGACAGAACCTTGGGCAGCATAGTTTAGTGTGTGGTGTCCCTGCTCATGGCAGGGGGGTTGGAACTAGATGATCTTAAGGTCCTTTCCATCCCAAACCATTCTATGATTCTCAAAAGCAGGGAATATCCAGTTCTTACAATTTGTCTGTTTTAAATACACTGAATCATGAAAAGCATTCTTCAGAAAGATTATTGCCTCTTCAGTGAGCACTTGTGGGACTATAAAATAACTGATCAGCTTTAAGACAGTACGTGAAAGTGAGTGTTCTTGTTTTATATATATAATTAGGGTTCTTGATGACTGAACTGTAGGCATTTATGTTTTCCCTAAAGGCAGTCACATTTGTTTTCATTCAAATTTCTTTTCTTTTCAAGAAAAAGTCTGCATAATGATTTCTTTCAGGACACAGATGCCTTCTGTGTCCTGAAGGCAGACAAAGTCTGGGTGCGTCTTGGCTACATCTACACTGTTGAAGATATTTGCCCCATAGAGTAATCTCTACCTCCACACAGGGGTAGGTTAATGCCTCTAGATGTGGTGGTGCCTCTGCCACTGACGTGACCACTCCAGGAGTCCAGCATTCCTCTGGATGCCACATGTGGCCCTGGGACAGCCTTGCATCCAAGTAACAGAAGAGGTTGCTTGAATTCGCGCCGCTTGGTTTTGTTCAACATGTTGTTATGAACAAAACAGGGAATGCATTTCAGATGCAGAGCCAGTAATTGTTAATTAAAATCTGAACTGTCTAATCAAAGGCTTAGTATTAGTTCAGATACTAACACAGTTCAAGCTATATATAATTTTAGTGGTAAAAATGCAAACTCTAGTACCAAACCTGGTGTTAGATTCACCCACCCACTTTCCGTCTGGGACTTGACTTGCTTCGATTGGGATGGTAACGCCTTTACAACAAGTCATCAACAGCCCAAATCCTTCCAAGGCAAGAAGAGGATGGTGATGGTTTCTTCTTTCTTGCCTTGGGTCCATTTGGGATCATTTTTATATGCTTATTAACATGCTGTGCATCTTGCCTTTTATTCTGTTCTATTCTGGTTTAGTTTACTCATTGATTCATGGTTCCACATTACATCTGAATTTAGTACACGTGGCGTGCTTTACATGTGTGGAGTGCTTGTTCTCTGTTCTATGTGTTTATAAGGTTGGTTTTACCTAGCTCCCAAGACTGCATCCGTTGAATGCTCCAACCCTGGCGGTGTTCAAGGCCAGGTTGGACAGAGCCTTGGGCGTCATAATTTAGTGTGAGGTGTTCCTGCCCATGGCAGGGAGGTTGGAACTAGATGATCTTAAGGTCCTTCCCAACCCTAACCGTTCTATGATTCTATGACCGGCACAGGTGAGATGTTACGGCGAAGGGGCCCAGTATTGTCCTGCGTGTTTGCTTTCCCACCCCTGCGGTCACCCCATGCCTGTACCCCTCTATGCTGCATTTTTGCAAGAGTTGTAGACAGTTTGCTCTGCACAGAATAACTGGTTATTGCTGTCTGTTATAAATGTAGCATTAGATGCTAGAAAATTAAATATATTAGTTTATATTTTAGTTTGTATTTTTTGCTTTCCCTGTGAGTGTTGTGTGGAGACACAGCTGAAGCAGTCTTTGTCAGTGCACCCTCTAGAGATCAGGTTATTTCCAAAACTCTGCCTTTATTTCATTTGGGCTTGTGCTCTTCAAGGAGCAAAATAATCACATTCTGCACAGATGTTTATGAAGCCAGGACTTAGGATGGAGCTGTTTGGGAGTAGAGTTGCACCCCAGTACGTTCTGATGTTCTGACATGATCTAAGCTTTGTGCTCAAGAACATGTCTGAGGGTCTTCATTACACTTAAAGACAAGCAAGATAATATAGCTATGGTTAGGTGTATACTTAAGAAACACATTTAATAACTGCATTATTGTAGAAGAAAATCAGTTGTTATGTATTATTTGAATGTTCACAATAACTGATAACCTTCACATGTTTAGCAGTCTGTAGGACAAATGATTTCAATCATGGTTGTCTTCTTTCTGAGCTAAATCTGGGTGATTTTAACTTTCATCAGAATCCTTTCTGACATAAACTTTAGGCATTTAATTTATTAGCACCTCTTTTTGAAAATATTTAGGTGCTTAAAAACCATTATATTGGAAAGTTACTCCCTTGAATTTGTAATGAAAACCGTCTTGGCAGCTGACATTTCTGATATGCTTGGCTATGCAATTCTGCATGTGTAGACAGTAGAACAGAAGGCTGAGAAGCATACTAAGTTTATTTTACTGGGAAATAATACAGTGAAAATTTTACAGCTCATTTACAGGTATGTGATATGCCCTGCAGTGTAGAGGAGTTCTGATTGAAAGCTGGTCAATTTTTTGTGAGTAGTTTGCTTTACCATTTAGAAATGGGCTAGGAGCTTATGTCATTCAACAGGCAGAATTACTGGGCTCTGATGCAAGTCCTGTTGATTCAGCCATTAGAGGCTTGACATTTTGAAGTTGGACTGAAGGGAGATAGATGTTGAAGTAAGCTTGAGCACTGTGAAGAGTGGCGAGAGAGACAAAAGACATAAAAAACCCTAATAAAAAAGACAGATATAAAAAACCCCAAAGGCTACATTTGCATTTTCCTATAAAGCACATGACACCAATGTGTGCACTCCTGACAGTTCCTGAAGGCATGAAACACTATAGATGTTGTACGGTACAAGAGTGTTTTCCAGGGCAAAGACTGTGATTAGCAGGTATGTCCTCCAGATATGTAGGACAACTGATTTTCAAACCCATTATTCGACATCACTGGAGTGTCAGAAATCGAGATATGGAAGATTTAGTAAAATTCTACAAATACTGCAGTTCTAGTAACATGACTAAGTTGTTAATGCTTTTGGTTAAAAAGTTCTAAAATGTGTTTAATTTGGTTTCCTGAGTAGCGTCAGACTTTCGCTTGCATTTCCCCTTTCTATACCGTGAGAGTAATTTCTTATTCTAGATTTAGCTGTGTTAATTTTCTGATTTCTCCTTCGGGGATGAAGTGCCTCAAACCTCTCAGTGTAATACTAGTGGTATTCCTAGAGTGTTGTCGGTCACATTTAATATAAATAATAATGCTAATGTAGCCCAGCACGTAGCATAAGGCTATAGGAGTCCTGAGTAATTTTACAGTTTTTTACCTTTCTTAACTAAACAGCAAAATAATTCTCACTTTTCTTTCTCTATTTCTAAATTGTTGCAGAAAAATGTATTTGGAGTGATAACTACTGCTTGCTGAACCAAACTGCAAAGATCTCATACTTTAGAGATGAAGATGATAAACCCAAGGAGATAATCCAGCTGCTGGCATTGTACAACTGAAAGATCCTTTGTGTCAAAATGAGCAGTCTTTGAGAAAATACTGGAAAACCATTAAATCTGAGAAATGGGAGAACGACTAAGGAGCCCAGATTCTGAACACGACAGGAAATCAGATGGAGATAAACATAGTGACTCCTATTATTCAGATGAAGGTAGTGCATCTCATTCATCTGGCCAGTCACCAACACTAACATCTACAAGCCAGGAAAAAAGAGAGCACAAAACACAAACTTCAAACAGCCTCGTGCACTACCAAGGTAGGTAGAGAGCAGAAATTGCTGCTTTGTAACTGCCTCAAAGAGTTGATTATCTTTGAAAGCTGAAAGAAAAGTGGGAAAACAGCATTAGGAGAATCTACAAATAAGGTTCATGTGAATTATGCTACAGATGGCAGGTAAATTGTGACTGCTCTGTTGAAAACTGCAATTAACCTATTCCTGCATAAGGAGGGGTTTTGGTGATTTTCAGAATGATTCATATATTTCTTAAAAAGTAGCCATGGCTCTTATACTAGCCTTTTGTAGAATCATTCTGATGCACTCTTTTTGTCTTTGACAAAAAGCTTGAGGCCAAGGACCCAGGACATGTCCTTAGTCTGCAGTCTGTAAAAGAGAGACGATTGTTAAAAGTTCTCTGACAAAATACCCTAACGATATCTCCCTTGTGGAAGTCTAGTTGACTAAGCTTTACAGTGTAATACTACTTTCAACAAATAAACAAAGACCACCAATGGGGTAAGAGAGAGAAAATGTGTTTGGTGAAAGGTAGGTTCATGTGGAAATTCAGAAGTCCTTCTTTGAGGGTGAAATATCTCTGATCTGAGATGAAATAGCTCCACTTTGAGCTCGCTGACACACACCTCACCTTCATAAGGTGCTTGCTTGATTGAGAATGTGGGGAAGTGAACATCGCTACAAAAGGGGAGAGAATGGTTGTAGAGATCCTGGACTGAAGTAGGGATGTGAAGCCTTTCTGCTGCACTTTGACTGCTTGTTCTATATAACCGCACACATTTTCTGCTGAAGTCAGAGCATATCCTGCCTTACTTGAGCAAGTGCTGTACTTTATTTGTAAGTGCTTGATACTATCTGAATCATTTGGTCAACTTTATGATCTAGAGTGTACCAGAAGGTCAGACCTTAAATCCTGAATTGGCCCAGGGAACGTAACTCTTGAGATCCTTGATAGTGTTGGTGTCCTGGTGCAGTTGGTGTTTTGCTGAGCTTCTCTACATTCAGAAGCAGCATCTTCTCCATAGCAGGCATGGGTTAGCTGTCTGGGAAACAAAGCCTGCAGCTCCACTGTGCTATTTAATTTGAAGGGGGCAAGTGAATGGCTAGTTCTTTGATTACATAGCCAGAACTGAACACAATTACTACATGAAGGTATTGTGAGCATCGTGTTGTTCGTGAAAACACTATTCCCCAATTTAACTAAATGGTCAAACGTGCAAACTTGCTATGGGAATTTCCTGTCTGTTCTGTCCTAAGTGTGGATAAATTCTTGAATGGGCTGAAAGTCTAGGATTAGTGAGAATTCCCTTAGTTGGTGATAGGAGTCGCATCATTTCTGCAAGCGGGTATTAGATAATCTTTTCACACCTGAATGTGACATGAGTGTTCTTTGTAAAGGAGAAAAAAAAACCCAAAACCCAAACCAAACAATAGTCTAGAACCAAAATAAACCAACCTTCTTTTGTTTGACCAAGCTGTGGAAAAAAATGAGCATCAAGCAGAAAGTGAATGAGTATTTGTGTAAAATGTTTCGAGGAAATTATAAGGATATATTTAAAGCTGTTATTTTTGCTGTAAAGTGTTGTCTGTGGAATAGAAACTATTCTATTCTATTGGTGAAACTATTTGGTGAGCACCAAAGGAGAGGAAGAATTTGCTTCACACATGCTATCTATGTAGAGGTAACAGCACTATTGCTATATTTCACCTTTCAAGTCTAAATTATAAGCTGCAGCTGCTGCTGTTCAGTTCTGCTAAACACTGATGTACCTTAATGAATTATGTGCTTTCTATATATTCAGTTGTTGTAGAAGGTATTTTGGGTGGATTATATACTTCATTCTTTGAGTGTGGCTTGAGAGGCACATAAGAAAAACAAAATGTTAAGCTTTTATCTATGGGGATAATAATATCAAATGGGAATGCAAGTGATGCATAATAGCAGTCAAATAAGGGTACTGTGTGGAAAATAACGTGTGATACAAGAATAAATTATTCAGGGGAGAACTGAATTTTCATGGGATTTGTAATTTTGCTTTGGAGGCTTTCTGCACTGAGCCTTTGAAATCTGCTGTTTTGTCTGTAAGCATGGCAGCTGGATTTGAAAATACTACTGCATTTGTCTGAGAGAATTACATCTTGCATAAGGCATAACTAGCTAACGCTCAGCTAATTGGTGCCATTTTAAAAGCATTTGATAATATTGTATGCAGAAGAATATAGTATTTCTAAACATTTTAATAAACAATATCAAATATTAACAAAATATGACTTATTTCTGATACAATTTGCAAATGATTACTTTACAATGGTCTTGTATTGATGGCTGCAAATATTATCTCTTCTAGTAGACCACAGGAGTAAATACCAATTTTTTTTGTCTATCAAAAGGGGCATAAGTCTATCGTACACATGCCTTTTATTGTCTGGTTTGAAAGCTGCAATCTCTGTTAAGTATTGTAAAATGTTTCAGGCAGAGCTTTATTCCAAGCAGGATGTCTGAATAGACAAACTGCATTGTCATAGAGTAAACATGCTTTTTGTTTTTCCTCTCTTAGCCACAAAGAAATTGGATTCCAAATATGCACCAAGCAAAAGAGGGACACGGTGGGGCTTCCGTTCTCAGAGCTTCACAAGGGATTCTCCTGCAAAAGATATAGATCTTGTTACAAAAAGAGTTCTTTCTGCTAGGCTGCTGAAAATCAATGAGCTCCGAAATGAACTGACTGAACTTCACATCAAACTAGATGAGCTGCAGAAAGAAAACAGGGCACTGAAGAGGCTTCAGCACAGGCAGGAGAAAGCCTTGAATAAGTTTGAAGATACAGAAAATGAAATCTCTCAGCTTCTTGCTCGGCACAACAATGAGATTAGAATATTAAGGGAGCGTCTACGGAAATCTCAAGAGAGAGAACGTGCAACTGAAAGACGGCTGAAAGATTCGGAAGATGAACTGTACAGAACAAAAACTGCCTTGCAGAAACTGAAAAAGCTGTCTGCAGATAAGCACCTTGCTGAAAGAGATGACCTGGCAAAGAAACTAGCCTATGCAGAGAGCAGGCTAGAGGACAGTGAAAAAAGAATTAAGGTGAGCTGACTCTGGTTTTGTAAGAAATTCTGGAACAGGTATTTCTGACCATCATGAGCTTCCTGAATTGTGTTTTTTCCCAGTTGTGGAGCAGATGGAAAATAATTCTTTTTGGTTTTTTTACACGTAAGTAGCATCAAGTAAATTTCCAAGGTGATGATATAATTACATACTTGGTAGTTGTGCTTTCAAATTGCTGTTTACAAATTAATCACATTTTGTCAATTTATACTGTGGGCTTGTGCTTTTAAGTGTTTTTATACCTAGTAGTAACATTTCAGAAATGCATGCAGCTGTAAGAAAACTCTATGCAGTCTAATTTTTCTTCTTGGAGGGGAAGCGTTTGTTTAAAAAATTCTGGATATTTAAGGAACTGTACACTAAAAGTCTAAAAAAAAACTATAGATATTCTTTTTCAGTTTGGTGAACTGCATTCGTGTGGTGTTTGATTGTCCATTACTCTGCACATCTGAGAGATGAGCTGAACAAAATTACAGCAATTTTTTTATACCAAAATGAGCTTTATAACATTTTCTGGGAATCCATTTTAAGAATTTTTTGCCATATATTTTAATTTTGTTGAGCAAAAATATTTACTTTTTTGTAAATGTGTCTAAACATGTCTACACTGTCAACATGTAAAAAATCTTCTTGTTAAAAATAATTGTATTAGTGCTATTAAACTGTTGCTAGTTGTATACAATACTATTTTAGGTGAAATTATGTTGGTCATTAAAATGGTGTTGCAGTTTGGTGTCTATATTAGTAATTAAACCTAAATCATATTACAGAGATAATTGATCTGGAAATCCGAAGGATTAAGCTGGAAACTAAGCTTTCATAAAATAAATCCTGAAATACCAAGATATAAACTGCCAAGTTACCCAAATCATCTCACCCATAGTGTCACCATCTGGCATCTGTAGTTTTATGATCAGGTATTTCAGCATTTGTAGTACTGGATATTGTTAAAATTAATCATGCTTTAAAAAGCAAGGGATTTTCTTCTGTATTTTTTTCCTTCTATCATCACCACAGGTTCACTTAAAAGAGCTATTGCAAGTTGTGGGTATGTAAATCAAATCACAATCACAGATTTGTTCCTAGTAGAAAGGTTACAAATTATTTCTTATCTTCTTCCTTCTAACCCTGCCCTTTCAGGGAGGTATTCTTTTTTCTTCACCATCAGTTTGAGATTTTTCTTAGAGATCTGGAGGTCCACTGTGCCAAGAGCCTTGCATAAAGTAGTGTGTGTTCCCATTATGTCCTCAAATCACCTCTCAGTGCTGCAGAAGGATGAGCTGCAGCATCTGAAGGTGCTTTGCCTCCTCAAAGTTGGGATTAAGGATTTAAATGTATTCAGTGTTACAGTAATGCTGGAGCCAGTATCAGAATCCAAGACACTAGTTTACTGTAGTTTTATTGAAGTAATATAAAATTACTCTTTTGAAGTACTTCAATTATTAAAAAAAATTACTATTTTGTTTTAATTGAAGGATCTGGAAAAAAATCTTGAATTAAGTGGCAGCAGTTTTCAACGAGAGTTACAATCAAAGAAAAAAAAGATCTGTGAGGCTCGAGAAATAAACAGAGTTCTCCAAGAAGAGCTTCAACAACTAAATCAGAAGCTGAAGGTAAAATGTGAAGTAATACAAGTTGCTAACCATGTTCTGGCACTTTATCTTTGGAATTATCTGCAATCAGGTTTGAATAGTTTACTAGTGGCTGCACTCTCTGATGTGTACTTAATTATATCCCACATGTGAGTTCTTTTCCTGCTTTAAATTGAAGTGTTCTGTGCTCTGACCCTACAGTCTCTATGTTAATCATTATTGTTAGCACTAGTTAAGAAAAACAAGATCAAGTACCTGGCCAAGCATTGGGATTAAACCACAAGACCTACTGGAAAAATGGGTTTTGAAGGCTTGAATTTAAAATTAAACCTGCAGGCATACACTGTACCTTATGTTACTAATGTACTTGCCTTGGAGTAGGTTTGTGTAAAGATTTATTTGATGTATTTGTGTGTTGCTAAATTTGTGTAAAGGTTTATTTGCATCCCCCCTACCCTGTTGTTACCCAAATTCTGAATTTAAGGGCTGCAAATGTTATGTTCTACCTAGTCAGTTATCTTTATTAAAAAACAAGACAAGTAACATTGCTAGTATTGAAATATTTAACTATACAATACTGAAAATTCAGTTGTGCAATCTACATATACATTGTGTCATTCATGTCTATGGAAGCATTGGCATTTAGTTTTATTTTCAGTGCAGATATGCTGCTTTTTTTTTTTTTCTTTTAACCACCCCCAAGTATTTTGCTAATGACTTTTCTGGGGGAAAAGTTCTATCTGCTTGCTTATAGCATCAGCCAAGTTAGGAATGTGCTTGTTCTCCTTAAAACATTGGATGTAAATATTGATTACCTTACTCTGTTTCTATTTGCAACATGTGTTTTTAATTTAATTTACAGCTTGGCTAATGACTTGTAAATGAAATGTCAGTAACTCATTGTTGCACCTCTTTCGTGCACAGGAAAAAGAAAGAGAACTTGAAGCAAAAAATATATATGCTAATCGTATGTTGAAGCTATCACCAAGAAAAGACATGGATATTATACAGAGAAAGAGAGGTAACTTCTGTAAAGCAAATAAAGGCACAAAAATTAACAGCAACACTTTTAAATTAGTCTGCTAAGTTCTGTCATTCATGCCACTCAGTGCTTGACCCTACCACTGCTTGTTTAAGAATGTTTACTTTGTTGCACTGCTTTCAACACACCGCTGGTTAGAAAAAAGAGCACATTGTTTGTTTGATTCTTTGGTAACTGAAGCAGAACTAAAACCCAGAACTTCATCAAGCAGCATTCTTAATTTCTTTCATTGCAGATATTCCTTGGGCGAAGGAGGGGGAGATTGTTTAGTAAATTCTCTAATAGATCATAGATGATGTCTACACAACAATAATTGCAGAGGCTTTAAAAATGTGTAACTTCACTGCTATGAATATTTTGGGGTTTATTTATTTTTTACTAATCCCAATTTACTGTCTGTCAGATGAGCATCTTTTTGTGTTCTCAAGGAGTGCATATGTCCCAGAACATAATCTAAAAGTATCAGTGCGGTGATTTCTTCTGGTGTGACAAGGCAGCCTCAAGCCTTATGCTACCCACATAAATATGTGTGTGTATATGTGTGTGTCTGTGTGTGTACTTAGACTGTTTTCATTGGATCAGTAGAATCTGCTTGTCAGAAGAAGCAGGAATTTATGGGACTGGTTTAAATATTTAATGCCAGCATTTCAAACAGTTTGTCTGCTGCTCATTTTATGATGGATACTCTGCTATTACTCCGTTTTAGGTTCAGGGTTTTTTTAAATGTCATTCCACAGAGGTAAGTGTACATGTTTTAAAGATGCAAAGAATTGAATTTTGATGTTAGGAGTTTGCTTCTCTACATGTAGCTTCTGTGACAAGCAGTAAGATGAGCGAGATATTTTCTGGGGATTTTTTAACAGATGTAAAGTATACTGTAATGCTACTGTAAAGCTAATTTGTAAGTAGCTTTAAGGTGTTTTTATTATTTTTTCAGGGTAAGTTATGCGTGCAATTTTTTGAAATTAGTTTTTACAGATGCTGAAAACAACTGTGCACAACTTGTCAATATTTTCCACTTCCATTGGCTCCAATACATTCTTTTATGTTTGCTGCAAATCATTACAAGTGAGAAATAGATACGTAGTGGCACAAGTGATTTAATCAGTTTGTATTTTCTACAGCCAACAACCAAAATATTAAGAAGGGAGTACAGCTCACAAAAGGTGTACAGACCAGTGGATACTTCTCACCGGTAGAATTACTTCCGGAATCAGAACTTGTCCGTGGTGGCACAGTAAACAAGAAAGAAGGGATTCTTCCTAAAATAGTGAGTTCCATTAGAATTTGAGACTTCCTTCGGATAACTCCCCTGTCAGACTGAATGTTTAATGCAGAGCTTGTATTTTGGAAAACATGTGTAAATATACAAATGTAAATATATAGACAATATGATCTAGAAAGCATTCTGCTCTTTAAGAGCAGCTCTACCCTTCCAAAAATGTCATACTCTATTTTTGTGACAGTTCATCATGCTCTGTGTCTTGCTGGTAACCATTAGCGCTCAATTTGTTTCTTTTTCTGCCACTGTCATTTCTTTGAAGTTTTTAAAACTTCATTTTGGTTTTCCCTCCTTTTCTTCATTTCTAATGCTTGTTTGAGCAATCTGTTGTAACAATACTGTTACAACAGCCTTGTCTCTCTTTTTGCTTTGGTCTTAATTATGGCTTCTTTTGCTTTCCAGATTTATTTCACAATGCATAAATCTAACACTTCCTCTTATTGTCATAGTGCTGGTATTTCTTCTGTCAATTTTCCAGCTTTGTGAATATGGTTGGATTCTTTTTGTTGTTGTTTTTCATTTCCCTTTTTATTATAAAATAGTACCATTAGAAGTATTGCTAGTATTTCTGTGACCTCAGGCTAAAGTCAAAGAGATTTGTAAGGTATTACAATTCAGAATGACACAGATTCTGGTACAAATTGTACAAATTCTGATTGCATAAGGCTAGGACTATTTGTCAGAAATAATGCTCTGATGATGGTCTTGAGTGGCTTCCTGGTAGGACTGAAGTTTTTTCGTGGCCGTTTTGTTCATATGTTCTCTCTTCCAAAATCCTTTCTCCAAGTATGGATGTAGTTTAATGTATGTGTTCTTCCAGCATATAGTTTAGTGTGTGAGTTACACAACCACACAATTGGTACAAGTGCAGCTCATGGAGTCCAACTGTATGTCATCTTGCAAACCTCTCTAGTCCATGTGTGGCTGTTGCTTTAACATATATTAGATCTGGGTTGCTTGTGCTTTCATCAGTTTTCTAAGTAAGTCAAGTGTTTTAAATACTTGGCCACCATCTCTTTATGAAGCCTTTTCTGGTTTAATATAATAATTATAATCTTGTACTTGAAGGGAAAACGTTGTTTTGGCTGATAGTCATGTTTGCTTTCTTCATTAAGTAGGAACTGTTTCTCAAATTTCTTAGACGTGTATTTTAATCTAGAAGCTTATTTTGCTCTAAAATAGGCACAGGCTGCATAGTTAGTATCCAAAAGTTGGATCATGCTGGCTTTCTCTAGTGGTTTTTACTGCTGACATTAATATCTTTTCTGCAGGTGCCTTCCATTTAAATGTGTACGTATACTCACTAGCTGAATTTTTCGGCCAAGATTAAAACTTTCTCATTCACTGTTTGTTAATTAATGCTCCATAACTTCAAGTACCACCGTGAAACTGTCTATCTACAACCCACTCACTCGAGTATAAAGATTAGATCATGGAAATGGAGGTTTCTAGTTGCTTGCTTGTTAAAAGAGTAAGGTGGTGGGTTCTGGCCTTCTGTTAAAGCCCGTGAAAAAGAAAACTTCTAACTCCTAAAGAGAACTATACTAACACTGTGATAATTTTGCTTTATGACATTGGAGCTGCAACTTTTCCTGAAATGTGGAATAGAGGATAGAGTTGATTATCTATTCCCTTTGTTTCAGGTGCACAAATCTGTGCTAGCAGTAGTAAGATTACACGGTCAAATCCCTGGTTGTCAAAGCTGGTTTGTCTTAGATGACTTGCTTGTTTTTATGTTCAGCAGTAAGAATGTGATTTTAGAATGACATGGAAGTTCATATGATTTTGCTTGTTTATTTATTTTATTGTTTTTCCCCATCACTTTCAGTTTTGTATTCCTTTATTTCAGGAAAAAGAAACTGAAGACACAGGATGGAAGGAGCAAGCAGACCTCAACAAACAAGTCCAAGACAGGGAAACGGAAGAGAAACTGAAGTGTTTTCAGGAAATACAGGTTTTAGAGGAGAGGATTCAAAAACTTCATGATGGTAAGGAAACAGGCAGCTGAAGGCTGGAAAACACACCATAGAATACTAATCAAGTAAGGCTGCTAGTTTCTTGTGAAAAGAAAAATGATTTTGCAGAGCTCACTACAGTGGAAAATTATTTTCAGTTACATTATGCAAAGAGAATCAGAAAGAAATACGGGATATAGAATAATGTGTGCCCTGTACTGAGCTGCAATTAAGTATGCAGCAGCAAAAAATGCTGTCCACAAAAAAGTATTGAAGCCTGAGAGATTTTGCTTTACAAAACAAGGGTGACATGGCAGGTAAATGCTGGTTTTTATCTCTGACTTGCTAGATGTTATGGAGGTAGGCAGTAGATTTTTACTATAGCAGAACCGATCTGCTTTCCTTAATCTGGCCTGTTTTTTCAGTACATATCTCCTTTGCTTATATCATTTGCAATTTTAGTTTCTGTTTGCACTTGTGGTTAAGTAAGAGAATCATTTAGTGTGACTACTTGAGAAATGTCTGTTATTATATTTTAATATTGCTTTTTTTTTCATTTGGTTTTCACATCTTAATGATTTACATTTATAATTCCCTTAATCTAAAGTATATTAGGTGGCGTGCATCCTGTTACGTTAAAATACTCTTCCATTGGTCATAAGTAATGAACAGTAACACTTATTCTAGATGACAAGGAAGGATTACAAAAATGTATAGCTGTTTTCAGAGATAAATTCTGTGAAAAATCTTCTACCTCCAGTGGCATCAGTGCACAACTTCCATATGCTATTGAAAAAATATACATATTTAATGTATTAACTGAACCGATGCTGTTATTTCTCTAAGCTTGATCTGAAGTACAATAGAAAACATGGACCTTTGTGAAAACCATCAGTCAGAAATTTGAATAAAGCATCCAAAGGGGAATGCCCGTGTGGTGAAGAGGCCAAGTAGTTGTATTCAACTTTTGGCCAAACACACACCTGTTGTCTTGATAGAAAAATATTTTGAAGAGAGAAATATTCGAGAAGCTTCCCTTTTTTTGTACACATAAGTATATGCGGGTTCTATCTAGAAGTTTATTACTGTTTTGCACCTTTGTCCCCTTAGAGCTGTGCAAATTGACACTTGGTATTTGCACAGACACGCACTGAATTCACATGGTGATGCACAGAACACTCATGTAAAGTTGTTTCCTGATTGCAGCAGGTGCAGTAGTTTAAGTTGTTCACTCCTTGAAAGTGGTAAGGACTCATCTATGACTTTGTGGCCTGAAAGCTTCAGTGGAGTAGTTCTTATTATGGGGAAAACCCCCCAGACATAGATCCCAGCACTCTGTCAGTGGTGCTGACAAAGAAAAATGAAGTGCTGTGCAAGTCAGAACTATTACAGTCACTGATGTTGATTTTCATTTTCATTCATACCCAGGAAATGAGAAGGCAACTGGCAGAAATTAAACTCCTCTGAAAATGCTAAAGTGTGGATAATGTCCTAATCCCTTTGTTAGATGGCTTTAAACTTTTATATCTTAGCAGAGAACCTGGTTTGAATTTAGCTGTAATTTTTGAAGAGTTTCTTTTTGCAGTAGGAAAACCACATTATGCATAGAAGAGCACATTCAAAGCTCAATGGCTTTTGCTTGCATTATTTTCAAAATAATCTTTTGAAGGCATTTTAAATCTAAAACATTTTCAATAATGTTTAAACATTTCCTGCAGAGTGGGAAAAGGAAGAATATGACAAAATGAAAAAAGAAAGCAGCTTTTTATTGGGTAAAGAAGAGAAAACAAAGATGGAGACAGAAATCCAAAAACCCGAAGTCGAGAGAGAGAGCACTGAATTTTTTTTAGAGCGGCAAAAAAGAGAGCTCCTGCTTGCTAAAATGCAAGAAATTGACAGAGAAACTCAAAATGTAACAAGCACGAAACCTGTTTCCCCAGCACCACTCATAAATACAGCAAGAAAATCTGATTTCCTGGAGAAAAAAGAAAAAACTAATCAATTCTTTGGGATTCCTGGGAAGGTTACAAATGGATTTCCTCTAGATAACACCCAGGATGATGCCACAAGAGCAGAAGGGCAGAAACAACAAAATCCAAGGACCATAGATTTAAGTAGTGAGTTAACATTTGGTAGTTATGTACCTTCCTTTGGGAAAGGATCAGGGAGGCCAAGTTGGCTTACTCAGAAAAGCATCACCTCAGAAGAAAAAGTTAAGGAAAATGCAGATTTCAATAGCAAGAAAGAAAAGTCCAACTTAATGGAACAACTCTTTGGAAGCAGTGCCAGTACCAATGTTCTTTCTAAAAGTAACAACACACCATTTGACATAGATTGGGACTCCAGTAGTACTCTTCTTGCTGATAAAAGAAGTAAAGTCACAGTAAAAGAAGACAATGAGCTTTTCAGTGAAGGGAGAAACCTACACAGACACCGTTTGCAACACACTACAAGAAAGCCAGGAATTCAGACCCTTGGTTCTTTAGAAGATGAAGTCGAAGACATAATCTTACAGTGATCATATTTTTATACGTTTCATATGTAAATACTGTAAAAGTATTTTCATGTAATATTTATTAGGTACAGATTCTAAACATTTCAGATATATTGTGAAGCCTTGTGAAGGAATAATTTACATAAATGGGTATATAGAGAGAGGAAAGATGCACTTTGATAGAACAGCCTAACCTATATGCAGGAAATTTCTTCTAAAGTATAATGTCCAAATACAGACCATGGAGATGTAGCAGTGACTCTTCTGGCAGAAAAACAGGGAGGGTGTCCTGAGGGACTTCAATAGATGAGGTAGGCACTGGCTGGCCACTTCAGTCATCCAAGAAGATACTCTTGCCCCAGCTCAGCGTCCAGGCTGACTGTCACTTGCCTTGTGGCACCATCTGCTTGTGCAGCTGTGGCCCAGGTTCCCAGAGACTTGGTGGCACAGACCTGATAGGGGTGCCACAGGAAGGGAAAGACTTGCAAAGGCTCACGCTCAGTTGTGCCCTTTGCTCTCTTTTGCACCCTTCGTGCTCACTCTCACTCTTGTGCACTTGCTCTCTTCCCCTCCCACCCTGACACCCTTTCCTCTTGCTCAGTCTCACCCTCTGTCTTGTGCCATCGCTCTCTTAAAGTTTTGAGACTCACTGATGGTGTAATGGTATGTTAAGTAGAACAGTACTTCTCACAAGGGAGCTTTAGTATTTGTTGCAGAATGAGTTGACTAAGGAAGGCAGCAAGTTTTTATGTGGCAGCCCTGGCATTTGCAGCAGCTACTAAATGGGCATTTCTGGCTAGCCAGCATAAGAGGTGTTTGGGGTTTTACCTGTAGGCTGCTCACAGTACACTGCTTTTCATTTGGAGCACTTCTTTTAGGCTTCAGATACTTTCTTTCTCAGGCATTTGGAGAGCCTTTTAACTGTGTCAGAAGAAGGCATATATGTAACAGCAGTGTCGCAAGATGGATAGAAGAGATGTACCTAGCACAAAGGCTCAGGTAGAAAGAGAATATTCTATACAGAAATCATGTTTTCTCAGAAAAACATCAACAGAAACACAATTAACTCAGGAACATCTGATCTCTCTTCTGCATAGGTTTTCTGTAGACCTTACTACTCAGTTTGTCTAACTCTCCTCATATATTCAGGTTATATTTATTATATAATGTCATTTTTGTAATTTCTGAATTTTCTATGTAAAATTCTAATCATTACTAAGTCATTTTTTAACAAAATGGTTTTATTAAATGAACTGAGTAAAATTTGTGTGTGTTTATCATCTTTACCACAAATTTCTGGGTTTTTGTATCATGTTATTGATTATGGGGGGAGGAGTTGGTAGCAACATGTTATTGGTATTTATATAATTGGTATATTAGTTGGTAGCTAGCAATGTTATTCACTGGATGGTGCCATGTACACAAATTAAGAAGGTAGGCAGTGAAGGATTTGGCAGAGGCATTCCAGAAAATAAGCTGAAGGTCATTCCTTAACTAGAACACAGATTTTGCAATGCCTCTGATACGCTCCCTATGAGCCTGATTCAAAACATTCTAAAACACAGAGAATTCCTCTCATGATTTCAAGATGCTTTGAGTCAAGATTTCTCTGCACACAATGGCTCTTCTGAAAAGAAAGGCTGCTGTCTGCATCATGCAATAACTTTGTTTGCTCCCCCATTCAGAAAGAAAATTAGTGACAGATCCAGACCCAGACTGTTCTCACTAGACGCTCTGTAGCAAAGAGCAACTCATATCCACTTGCTGAACAGTCACAGTCACTATATTATATGATATTATTACAGAATTACAGGTAATTTCACAGGATTCAGCTGGTTCATTTTGCTTGCAGATAGTCAAAATGTCAGGACAATGGTGACCAGCAACAGTGACTTTAACTGTCTGTGTGCCTCTTCTGCAATGAATTCTTTGGGGGAATACTGTGGTGTGAGAGGTGGGAGAAGGCTGCAGGTAAACACTGTGGTTGTTTGTGAATGTCTGGTTAGTTATCTTAACTTTTCTGTCCTACTTGTGGGTGGCTGCTGCCCTTGTAGAAGGCAGCACTTCAGTCCTAAGATACTGCTGGGGCAGGTTGTTTATTTTTCTTCCCTGTGGTTGAGGATTCTAAGGCATGAAACAATGATGTAGCTGCTGCAGTTATTTAGGATCATGTAGCGTATGGAGGGCTGGGTTTTGTTTCTTTGCAAGCCAGCCCTTTAACATCTGGCAAATTCTAACTGTGGTGCTGAACTGACATGCCCTGCTGTTTCAATTACAAATGTATAGTTTCTAATCTGTTCCATATTATCAGCCCCTTCTTATGTTCACAAATGTTCACATCCTGTTACCAGACCCTTCCTGAAGCAAACGCTGCGGTGACTTGCACAAACAAAAAGATATATCTGCATTAGGAAGGTGAAAATAAATTGATCTGCTGGGAGCAGTATCACAGGTACAGCTTCTCTCTTCCCCTCGTTGCTGTCTATCCATTCAGCTTATTTTCTTTTGCTTGCTGCACTTTTTAGTTTTGAAGTTACTTGTATGCAAATACCATTACAGTTAAGCCATATAAAGGCAGCTCTTTCTTTGAGAGGGATTCTGCTGTTTTGGAGGAGAGGGGGAACCTTTGAGTCGTAACATAGAAGCACAGAATGGTTTGTGTTGGAAGGGAGCTTAAAGCTCATCCAGTTCCAACCCCCTGCCATGGGTAGGGATACCTTCTACTAGACCAGGTTGCCCAAAGTCCTGTCCAGCCTGGCCTTGAACACTGCCAAGGATGGGGCAGCCACAGCTTCTCTGGGCAACCTGTGCCAGCGCCTCGGCACCCTCACAGGGAAGAACTTCCTAATATCTAATCTAAATCTCCCCTCTAACAGTTTCAAGCCATTCCCCCTTGTCTTGTCACTACATGCCCTTGTAAAAAGTTCCTCTCCAGCTTTCTTGTAGGCCCCCTGTGAGCAGTGTTTTGGCTATTGAGGAACAGTTTTGTACTGACTGGAAAAAACTTTAGCAGTGTCTTCAAAGGGTCTGTGGACCTTATGGTATCTCCTGTAGTCCTCTTGACCCCTCGTCACAACGATAGCCTGCACCTTGCTTTTCATGGTGTTTAATAACACTTGACTGCCTGCAAAGGAATCCATCTTTTGTAGTAAAAAAGTGAGTCACAAGTGCTTTGATGATGATTTGTGTAGGATTTGATGTTGGTGTCCAGCTGTAGGTTCTTTTTGTTTGATGTTCGGATCATATGGCTGTTACATCTGTTGTGTTTTGCCTTCCTTCTGAAGCACCAAAGGCGGTGGGAAAAATTCCTCCATTTCAGCAAGAAAAGATCATTAAAGCTTGATTCCCAAATATTCTACTGGGGAGATTGTTACTGCCCTGGGAAAACTGGTCTTCCAGTTTTGACCCCCAGGCCATCAGTATGTGAGGAGCATCTGGGGGAGGTGGTCAGGTGTCAGGGCTCACCTGGCAGACAAAACAGGAAGCTTTAAGAATAAAGATGTTCCTCCTTAGAGGGGATATGAACAGTGGAGGGTGGTAGATCTGTAATATGGGAGAAGAGATGTAAGCTGTAAGAGGAGAACTTGAAATGCCTTTCACAACTCTGAACAGAAGCCTGAGCATCACTACAGTGGTAAGAACTGGGAAGTGCTTAAATGTACTGAATATTTTTCTCGTATCTGTGGTATCTTTGGGCTAGTTGAAGGGTAAAAAAAAAAAAAAAAGCGTTTTTCAGGACCCTTATAAATCCTGTGTTTCTGATTCTGCTTTGCATGCCTAAAGAGGTGAATTGCAAATCCATAATGCTTCCAAAATGGGGATGCTTTTGGATGTGCTTAGGCTGCTTGATAGCCTCAGGTTCGTTGCTGGTCCTAAGGTCTAATCCAGCTAGCCCAGAGCCTGTTGGCGCTGTCAGGAAAGGCAAAAGACTATCTGATCTGGCAGTCAGGAGCAGGAATTTGTTCAGGGGCAGATGGCAACAAGAGCACCATCAGGGCTTCTGCTGATGCTTGTGGTCTGGAGAGTGCTGCGGGTGAGCCTTTGCCGTTCAAGAAAACGGTGATAAATTCTGCATAGTGCTCTAACACAGAGAGCAGCTAAAATGGACACAGCAGAAGCGAGCATCTTCAGGGGAATCGTGCTGCCAGTTGTGGGAGGGGAGGGTTTGTTCCCCGAGTTGCATGGCTTCTCTGAGCCTGACCTACTCTTGTTCCGAGATGACAACCCTAAGCACAAGAGATGCCCCGGGTGACACTGCTCATTTATAACAGTCCCTTTTGTTGGATCGAATCTACTGTGGCTCCTGTTCCGAATTATCTCTTTGATTAGCTGCAAAGTTTTGATGTCTGCGGGAGGAGAACAATTGCATCAGTGTGCACTGTCAGGCGGGACTGTGGCTGCTGCTGGGGAGTTGCTAGGATACCTCTCTGAAAGGTACGATTCACTTGATTAACCACCAACCCAGTTTGCATGAGAAACACTTCTTCTATCTTTGTTTTGGGCTGGCATCAACTGTGCATCAGATGTGCCTGTGTGTTTAGAGCAAGCTACAAGGTTGATTGCCAATGTGTTCCTTCCTTCCCTGCTTTTGGAATGCAAAAAAATCCCTGTGCTCCATCACAAGCAGTCCAGAGCAGTTACAGTAGTAATTCCAATAATCTGCAACATTAGCATTGCTTCCAGGAGGAAACATGAGCCATAGAGAACCATTTGGGAAGGGAAGGTTTGACTTTGGATATGTATTTTAGGCATATAACTAAGGCTTAACTTTGTATCTCTGAAGGGAATTTTTCCTCTTCTATGCACTATTTTCTCTCCCTGCCCTGCCCGGGGGGTTGGACTAGATGATCCGTCCAGGTCCCAGCCAAAGCTATTCTATGATTCTGTCATCATCCCACTGGTATCAATGCTCCCTTCCAGCAGAAATCCTTTGCATAAAGCTCCTTCATGTTACTTGCACGAAGTTGCCTCAGACACCTCCTCTGTGTCCATCTGTTCTTGAATACTACAGCATTGTACTTGGG